ACTACAAAAGAACAATTTGAGGTCCTTATTGCCCGGATGGAAGCTTTGGTCAAACCAAAGCCACTATTGATGATGTGTGGAAGGCCATTTCAGAAGACTTTAACTGCTATGGCCCACCAACACGCATTCCAAATGAATGGCAGAAATTGGCGAACATCTTCTTTTGGGTCCGTGATATGTACGTGTGTATCATCAATACATCCGACAACACTCTGGAACTTTGTTTTCGAATAAAAAAATTTGATTCTTCCCTTTTTCCTCCTCCGTTAATTTGGATACAATCAAAATTTTACACAATTTTTCCTCTATTAGCCGGATAACTTCGGCGAAAATCACCGACATTGTCGGTTGAGCCATGCCAAGGTTGAAGTCATTGCTATGGGACTTTTGAAAACTTCCCTCCACAAAAAATTTTAAGAGAGGAAGAATTGCTGTTGACCGCCACTCTTTTCGGAAATCAGGGTTTAAGGCTTCATCTATGTACACAACGGCACCTTTTGGTAGTCGAAAATACGCCTTCAAGCTAATATGAGCAGTTGATTGAACATTTCTCTAAACGTCAGCATCTGCTCACAGAACTGATGGTAGTTCTAATAGATTTATCTCTTAAATGCCTTCTAATAAATGACACACCTTGAACATAATTTTCATCATAAAAAAAAAATAGTTCCACTGAGCTTATCATCACATATAATCAGTTTTTCTGAAATATTTTATTAATTTTTTTTTGTTTGTTTACAATAGATATCCATAATGTTAAGTTTTATTTCAATTGCGTTGCCAGTTGAACTTACAACTGGAGTTTAGTTGCTTTCCATAATCGACCCATAAATTCAATGTACTGATACGTTGTACCGAAACTACATAACCCTTAAATTAACATTAGCAATATCTAATAATGAATTAAGTAATCCTTTCCGATCTATATGCGAAAAATTCAACAAATTATAAAATAAATTGTCTGAAACTCTGCAAGTCATTAAAAACTGTATCTTACGTTTTTAGTGTGTAGCAACAGCTGGCAGGCGTATATCTTAGTTTAATTCTATTTATGTTATTGTGTTGTTTATTGTCTATTGTCGTAAATCGTTTGTGTTTAACCGGCTGAGGTTTTACTGGAGCTGGTTTTCCTAACGAGTTCCCTACATTAAAGGAAAGTATGGCGATGGGAAGATCGTAAAAAATTACCTATTTATTTCTGAAAAAAACTTTCACTATAACATTATTTCCCAAAATGTTACAGGTCATTTATTCAGTTTGCAATTTCAATTGCTTTAGTTTTGGCCACCAGTGTATGTATTCCGACATATCTTAGGTATATTGAATGTCTCATGAACCTAGGCTAATGCTAACGTATTAAAATTCCAAAAAATAATTGATTGTCTATTTTTGCAGCTTCCTAATTTTTTAGTGTTCGCGAACGTGCTAGTAAATAGAATCATGGACCACGTGTTATTTTATTAAAAACAAATATTAAAAAATGACTTTAATTTTTAATTTCTAATTATTATCTCAAATCCATAGTTTTGCAAATGACGCAGGCAGATTCGAAAACTTTTCACGAACTACACAATTATCAGTTCTAATCGAGTCTCTAAGAACATGTCTTAAAAAATTCCAACTTAACAACGTGCTTATAGAAATGCGGGCCAATTATTATCATTTCCGATTTGGGTGACACTCCCACAAATTTTTTGTTTTACTTACTATTTTAAAAATAAAAAAAAACATTTCTAAAAAATTCACACGATTAACATGTGACAATATGGTGCGGGGTCATTGTGTTAACCCTTCTATTAATTTAATGGTTTAAGTAATTTGTTTATGTTTTTCATATATAATAACAATAAATAACACCTTTTTGTGTAATGCGATAGGAGTTTTCATTTATTTTATTTGTATATTAAGAAAATGCACTAAGCTCAACAATCTGTTTTTTTATAAATAAAAGAAATCATTTTTATGACAACAACACTTGTAACTGATAAGAAATACGCTGTGTTAAATGAAATGAAGATTAAAGTGCAAACAGTTACAGTACATTCGAAAATAATGTATGAAACGGCATTTACATTAGAAATTTTTACCGTGTTAACCTACTTCATGAGGACTTATCAAGAGTAACAGTTAAGTCCTCCTGTATAGATGAAGATGGAAACCTGGTGAAAGATACAGATATCGTGCTGAAGATCTGGAAGGAGCATATTGAAAAGCTTCTGGTATCAAATAGTGGCGGTGAAGATGTCCCAGAAGCAATAAGAGATGACTGTAGGTATATAGTGTATACCACCTAGCCAAGATGAGGTCAGAATATCAATTAATCGACTGAAGAACAATAAAGCAGCAGGTGCCGATTGATTACCAGCCGAACTCTGCAAGACCGGTGGTCAGATGCTGGTCAGGAGCATGCACGAGCTCATTTGTACAATTTGGCTAGAGGAATGCATGCCCAATGATCGGAACCTCAGCATCCTCTGTCCCGTGCACAAAAAAGGGGACAAGACGCCAAATATAGAGGAATAAGTCTTCTTCCCATCGCATATAAAGTGCTATCCAGCGTGGGTGAAAGGGTGAAAGAATGAAGCCAATGGTGCTCTGCGCCAGATCATGGAAAAACTCACGAAAAACACATCGACATATTCCACCTATTCGTCGATAGTTCTATCCGTTCTGAGGTGTTTTAAGCCATGTCTGCGTTCGTCATTCCTGCAATATTAATACGGCTATGCGGTATAACTTTAACTAGCACAAGGTCAGCAGTTAAAGTCGGAAAGGACCTATCGGAGCCCTTTAATGTAGAACGAGGATTCAGACAAGGTGACAGTTTGTCGTGTGATCTTTTTAACATTCTGCTGGAAAAGGTAATATGAGACGCAAAGGTGAACAGAAATGGTACTCTGTATACCAAACAACACATGTTACCCGCCTACGCCGATGACATGTTCGACATAATGGGTCGAACATTGCGAGCAGTAACAGCCACCATTGAACGAATTGAGAAGGAGTCTGCCAAAGTGGAAAGACCAAGCTGATGGCATCAAACTCGGTACGTCCATTAACAAAACGAATAACATCAGCCTTGAAATCCGGAGGAAAATAGTGTTGGCCAACATATGCTACTATGGTCTGAAAAAGCAACTCAACAGAAAGGCCACTTCTAGCCCGATTAAACTCACAATCTACAAGACGCTGATATTACCCGTGCTATTGTATGGATCTGAAGCATTGGTACTTGCGCAAGCAGTTGATGCAGCTCTTGGAGTGTTTGAAAGAAAAAATCTCCGAAAGATCTATGGGGTGATCTGCGTGCATGGTGAATATCGCCGTCAATGAACCATGAGCTATACCATCTATTCTCGGACATCGACATAGTCAGACGGATCAAGCTGCAGCGACTACGTTGGCTCTTGTGAGAATGGATGAAGATGCCCCAGCTCAAAAGGCATATAAAAGCGAGCCAAGTGATTGTTCAAGCAGATGAGGAAGGCCACGAATCTTATGGAATGATTAAGTAGAAGACAACATCTCGGAAAATGGTATTTAATATTGGATTAGATGCGCACAAGACCGACGCGCCTGGAAATCTTCAAAAAGGTCGGCTTATGGAACAACAGATGATTCACGCAGAAGGGGAAGGCCACGAATCTGATGGAATGATCAAGTAGAAAACAACATCTTGGAACTGGTCTTTCAAATTAGAGGAGATGCGCACAATACCAACGCGCCTGGAAACCTTTTTAAGCTCGGCTTATGGAACAACCGTTCTTTCATAAGCCAGCTAAGTAAGTATTGGATATCAAATATACTGGGTTTTTTAAAACTTTTTTCAGGATGTTTTTTTCATCGAATTATATATATTGGCATGGTAATTATACCATGTACATTGGTCCAAATGTCATATTATATTGATCACAATTCTAAACGGATACAGGAACGTCCACCGTATAACCACCACCAGTAAGTTTGCAATTTTCTTTTCAATTTCTGAGGAAAATAGCCTTTAATATTCCATTTGGCGACAATGTCATATTGACATTTCGTAAAAAGCTAATATCGACGCCTCCGAAGAATAGTATGCTAAGTCTGAAAAGTGAGTTTTTCAGTAGAAGCTCTCAAAGTATGGAAGTTTCTTATATCTTACGTGCCATGCTAAGTACATTTTGCTTATAACGATGATTACAAAATTTCAGAGAATTTAAATTAAGGCCCGTAACAGTACGTTTACATTTAACCGGATTTCGTTAACCCAGTGGGTTTAAATTGTCATTTGCTTTGCATATATGTCAAATAAATCCTCATAAAGTAGGTTAACCCGGTAAAAAGTTCTAATGTACAAGGAGTTTAATATCTAAAAACGTAAAGAACTTTAAAACATGCTAAGTCGACTTAGCATACTATGGTTCGGAGGCGTCGATATGTAAAATATTTTTCAGGTCCTAGTAATATTAAATTCAAAAATAGGAGGAAAAACCCCTATAATATTCCCTTTGGCCATAACTTCTAAACGGATACAGGGGTGTCCACCGGATAAACACCATTAGGTAGGTAGTAATTTTCTCTTAAATTTCACAAGAAAACTAATATGTAAAAGATGTTTTAGGTCCTAGTACCATTAAATTAAGAAATAGGAGGAAAAGTCCCCACGATATTCCCTTTCAAACTGCTCGGGGTTTTTTAAAGCGCAATTTAAATTTCGAACACCAGTACAATACACATACCCCACACCACTTCTCTCCCACTCACTGTAAACTGTTCATTCCAAACAAAATAAACATATGTTGTTTGTTCTCATATCGAGGTATGCATGCACTGCCTCCGATCGGTCTTATCTCAAAAAAAACGTTTCTTTTGTTGAAATGAAAACAACGAAACAGTGAAATCACAATCATCAACTATCAAAACCTCGACCAGAGCCTATTTAATTTAGTACTATTTTGTTTGTTTGCCGTTAAAGACGTAAAAAATACAAACCGGTTTAAAAAGAAATTCAATTCAACGAAAAATGAATAAAATTGGAAAAATCGGATTTCTTGGTGGTGGAAAAATTGCCCAAGCTATGGCTAAGGGCTTTATTGGATCTGGTAGATAAACAAATATATTATTATTTTTTAATAATTATAAGTGTAAACATTCTTAAAAATATAAAAAGGAAATCAATATTTACAAAAGTGATATAAAATTTTAGTAGAAAAAAGTTATTGTTCAAAATATTTATAACAATTAATTCAAAATTATTTTGGGTGATATATTTTTCTAATAAGTAACAATAATCAGGAAATTTCACAAATATATATTATAGTAATTTAATGAGAAACTCCTAATATTTTGACAGACCAAAACATTGGTATGAACTCCTAAATTTCCATCGGTATTTTTTGTAAAAAATTTTGGAAATATAAAATTGAAATTGAAAAACTTGTTTATGAGAGTTTGGAAAGTGTTTACGTGTTTGAAATTTCTTCTTGTCTAATGTTTACATTTGAAGTGCATTTAGATTATCCACTTGAATTCGAATGTCAATTTAATAGCATAGACGTCCAGCAACTTGTTAATAAATCCAGTGGATTTAATTTAACGTATACGTTATGCATATTTTATATATTAAATCGAGTTGATTTCATAAATCAAAACATACTATGCGGTGGTTTTGAATGTTCCTGTTTATATTTTCAAAAATGTTTTTATACAGGGTTGTGGTAAAAATATTAGGTTGTGCAATGCTTGCATCAAAACGGATGCACTATGGGCCAGTGGGGCCAAATAAAATGAATCCAAAATAATTCAAAAAGTCCCCAGATTTGAAATATAAAACTTTTTTCCTCTCTACCTGAAAACGAGTTTTTTAACAAATATTCTTTAAAAGATCTTCCCATATTGCAGTCCTCGATTGTGGTTCCTAAAAAATATGCTTTAAAAACTCCTACTGCAGTCATTAAATAAATTATGAAATCAAATAAAATGAATCCAAAATAATTCAAAAAATCCCCAGATTTGAAATATAAAACTTTTTTCCTCTCTACCTGAAAACGATTTTTTTTCAACAAATATTCCTTAAAAGATCCTCTACCTGAAAACGATTTTTTTTCAACAAATATTCCTTAAAAGATCATCCCATATTGCAGTCCTCGATTGTGGTTGCTGAAAAAATATGCTTTAAAAAAACTCCTACTGCAGTCGTTAAAAAAATTATCCTTCCAGAAACCCACGAATATTGTAGTCCTCAAACAAATATTTTTTAAAGAAATTAACACCTCGGATACTTACATAGCTGGCTTATGACAGAACGGTTGTTCCATACGCCCAGCTTATAAAAGATTTCCAGGCGCGTCGGTCTTGTGCGCATCTCATCCAATTTGAAATACCATGTTCCGAGATGTTGTCTTCTACTTGATCTTTCCATCGGGTTCTTGGTCTTCCCTTCTGCGTGAACCATCACTTGGCTCGCTTTTATATGCCTTTTGAGCCAAAGTAGTCGCTGCAGCTCGATCCGTCTGACTATGACGAGTCCGAGAATAGATTGTATAGCTCATGGTTCATTCGACGGCGATTTTCACCATCGACGAAGATCGGCCCATAGATCTTCCGGATAATTTTTCTCCCAAACACTCAAAGCTTGGTCTTTTCGCCATTTACTGCCAATCCCACTTCGGCAGACTCCTTCTAAATTCGTTCAAAGGTGGCTGTTAGCGCTCGCAATGTTTAACCCATTATGTCGATGTCGTCGGCCTATGCGAGTAACATATGCTGTTTGGTGTACAGAGTGCCACTTCTGTTAACATTTGCATCTCGTATGACCTTTTCCAGCAGAATGTTGAACAGGTCGCACGACAAACTGTCACATTGTCTAAATCCTCCGATGTGTTTATGGTGGTTTTTTTTTCCAGGATCGGGCGCAGAATCTATCTACTTATAGGAATATTATCCTCAAATTTGCGAAAATCTTTTATTTTAAAAATATTCTTAATGTGCATTTTTTATTATCTCTTTTATAAATTGTTTACATTTACAAACATTGTAAAAATATGTTTATTAATAAAAATGAATGCCATCAAAATAATCGACCCATAATGCATTCCCATAGAGCAAAATCCCCATCAATTATTAAATGTATAACAACAACAAAAACGCTATTATATGTGTTTTTTCCCATTTTTAACGTCTAGGCCTAACAAAAGCCGAATCAGTGATAGCCAGTGTACATCCCGCCGATCAAATGTCATTGCAATCATTTAAGGTGAGTTCACAGACGAGAGAGCGAGTGCATTGTCGTCTTCCTTTTTCCGGACAATAAAACACAGTTTAAATAAAAAGTTCTTATCTATTTTGAAATTTTGTATGTTTATTTTCTTATTTCTTTTTTTTTTGTTATAGAAATTGGGTGTCGAGACGATAACAAATAATGATCCGGTCGTTGAAAAATCCGATATTGTTTTCATATCAGTAAAACCACAAGTTGTGCCCAGTGTCTTGAGTGAAATTAAGACAAAAAGTGCCGAGAAATTATTCATATCAGTGGCGATGGGTATCACACTGAAAACATTGGAACAGGTAAAATACATGAATAGAGAAATGCATAATACAACAAAAAATTATACGATCATTTGTGGAAAGATTTGATGACTTCTTATCGTAAAATTTAAAATTTGGGTTAAAGATTAGTGGAATTTTATAAGGCAGGTAAAATGGGAGGTTAAAGAAAGTAAACCAAATAGATGGGAGATAAATGGTGTATTGACAAACCCAAGCTATGATAAGGATATCTAGAAGAAGGCCCACTACCTAAAATAACAATAGATAATTCTATATTAATATTATAATTAATATAAATATTAATTATAAAAATTATAGGCTCAATGAGAAGGCATTCTAGTGTTCTATAAGAAATCCTTTTATAGAAAAGGATTATACGACCGCAGGATTTCGACGTTCTACGGATTTGCAATGAGACTGTATTACAACGGAACTCTGTTCAAGTCCATGCTTGGTAAGGAAGGTATATTGTGGTCGAAATATGTCCTAAACCGATTTTCTCTAATTTCAATAGGGTTCGTCCTTGGTTCAAATAAGTGACCTGTGCCAAATTTTATCCAAATCGGATCATAAATGCGACCTGTGAAGTACAGGCTCACAAAAATACATGGACAGACATGCATAAATCGACTTAGAAAGTGCTTCTTTGCTTCATGGGTCGATCTCGATTCGCTTTGCCTGTTGCAAACATATGCACAAATATATAATACACTGTACCACAATGTGGTGAAGGGTATAAAAATGTTGAACAATCTCCGTCAACGAAATATTTTAATTCAAGGTCTCGAATTCGTCTTTGAAACCCAATATGGCTTAACCCACGCCATGATACTAAAACGGAGTGAGTCCTCCTCAGCCTAATCGAATATTCAAATTTTCGCCTGAGCTGATATATGGAACGATATCCAATATCGTAATGGGACTCCTACTCGACAAAGTTTCCACCTTAAGTACAGCGGTTACCTCGGCCGAGACCCCAAATAGAAAAGATTCTGGTATTTTATATGAAGATTGGTCTTCTAAATATTTTCCAAAAAACATTGAGGCTTTTAATATAAAAAAACGATCCGGCCTTCCTCCAATAAGAAATCATTTCTATCTTCTATGAGAATTCTTACTTCACTTTTAATAGTAGACTATATTAATGCCTATTCATTGACCTTAAATCCTCTATTAAGAGATTTTATGATCTTCTATGAGATATCTTTAATTTTACCGTTTATGTATAGCGATTTTATATTCAATTACATTACATTCCAGAATCTCTCGCCCAGTTCCCGTGTAATACGTGTCATGCCCAACACCCCCGCCCTTGTACAATGCGGTTGTTCGGTTTTCGTACGTGGCAGCAAAGCCACCGATACAGATGCCCACACAACACAACGTCTATTAGAATCTATTGGCACCTGCGAAGAAGTTACCGAAAATCTCTTAGATCCCGTTACAGCACTGAGCGGTAGTGGACCCGCCTATGTTTTTGTTATGATTGAAGCATTGGCAGATGGTGCTGTACGTATGGGTATGCCACGTGATATGGCATATCGTTTGGCATCACAAACTGTTATGGGCTCTGGTATGTTGGTACGAGAGAGTAAAGAACATCCTGGAGTTTTGAAAGATAATGTTACAAGTCCCGCGGGTTCAACAGCGGCAGCTTTAAAACATTTAGAGGAATCTGGATTTAGATCTGCTGTTGCGGGAGCTGTTGAGGCTGCAACGCTGAGATGTCGGGAAACAACTGAACACTAATCAACAAAAAAATAAAAACATAATTGGAATATTTTCTTTTGTAAAAACGTATTTTTTGTTATACTATTAACTAGCTATTTAATTTATTTTTTATATATTTTCTTTACAAAATATAAACTAAGTCATTATAAAACAATATATATAAAAAATATATATCTTTAGTTTTAAAAATAATTTAAAATTTCTTTTTCTTCTTCTTTTCTCGTTCCAAGGCATTGAGTTCGCCTTGTTGCAATGAGGCTTCGGCATATATACGTTTGACCTTTTCACGACGTTCCTTGTCACTGTAAAAGAAAAAATACGGGGATTAAAATATGGATTGAATATATAAATATATACAAATAATATACATAAATAATTTGCGAGAGTTTTTTTTATAGAACGTACATTGTAAAGATAACCTTTTCAAGGGCTTCTGAAAGGCGTGAATTAAAAAAAATCTTTTCGAGATTTTTTGAAATGCGAAAATTTGTTTTTGCAAAATAGTCAGGCTGAATTCCAGTTTGTTGTTTTTATAAAAAAAAGATTTTGTAAACAAATGGAAAATTTTCGAAAGGCGTAGTTAAAAAATGTTCGAGAGTTTTTAAAACACTTTTTTAGAGTTTTTTAAGGGCAGGGATTTTATAAAAACATTTTCGAAAGTTTCTAATCTTTTTGAAAGGCGTTTAAACACTTTTGATACCTTTTAAAAGAGGTGTGGATTTTTTGGAAAAATATTTTCGAGAACTTAGAAAATCGTGAACTTAAAATCTTCTTCTAAAGTTTGTTATCGTAGTAAAAAAATTGTAGATTCTTGTAGTACGGAGACAGACAAATAGTTTAGACAAATTTTTGTTTCCCTTGGGCTAGGTTCTCATTGATGAAAAATACATTAAAATACAAAAAGCCCTCATGAGATTTTTCAGAAATGTTTTGCCTTATTTAAGAACATTCTGATTTTCAATTTCAAAGGCATTCAAATCCTTTATAATAATATTTTTTAAATTTTCTTAATAAGAATATCTTCGTAAAAGCTCTTAAATTCATATCAGAAATATTCCCTTGGTATTACATACATATATCGAGCCATATTCGCTAAAAAACGTAACCCTCAAATTTTAAATTTTACATGAGATTTTTTTAATAAATTCAGATTTAATAAAGCTATTATTTTGAAATTTAGAACTATAGTTTTGTTATAAACTAGTTTTGTTTTAAACTATAGTTCTAAATTGCAAAATAGTAGCTTTATTATTTATTAAACAAACCTTCTCCTGTAAAATTTCAAATTTGAGGGTTACGTTGTTTTTTTTTTGCGAATATGGCTCGATATATAACAATACATCATCACAAATTTCAAAACACAAACATACCTTTGCAATTGTTGTTGTATACGTATTTTCTGTAAGAATTCTGTATCACGGCGAATTTCACGTATAGCACCCTTAGTTTCACGTTTGATTTTGTGTACCAATTTCACCTTCTCCTCCTTTTCCTTGGTTAGTTTAGGACGACGTTTATCATCGTAAACGGTTTCGATGCGCGGTTCAAGTAAACGTAATGCTTTAGGTTTCTTCTCGGGTGGCACTAATTTTGTTAATGGCTTATTTACCACTGTCTCCAACAATGTTTTAGTTTTTTCATAATTCTCCTTTATATAGGGCGGATAAGGTGTAACATCTAGTTTATCCAACATTTCGAAAATGGGGGCAACCAAAAAATTGCTACCCACATGTTCGGAGACTAGAGTTGTGGCATCTTGTATTAGTTGCAGGGTTTGATTTAATGACCTAACTTTGAAATCATTGCTTATCAATTGTGTAACTAAATCTTCGGCATTCAGGGGTTCTTCTTTAATATCTTTGTATTCCTTGGAATCGGTGGCAATGGCTAATAATCTATTTAATGGTCCTTGACTTTGGAAGGGTGGTACAACTTTTATAATTTCCACGGGTCTCTTGGGTATACACAAAAATATTAAACCCGTTAGAAAGTTGAAGGCAGCCGGCAGGAAACGTTTTGAGATGTTACCATATTCCAAGCATAAGCTAACCAAAAACAAACCCATTGCAATATCTTGTCGGCTCTTTACACGTGCTTTGGACAAAATGTGTTGCATAAATATATAACATGGTGTTGCAACGGGATGCCGAAAATCTGATGTTGAACACAGGTTGGAAACAATTTTGAAATAAATCAATACCTCCAAAGAGGGATATTGTTTGGAATTTTTCTTAAATTCTGAATATTTCTCCTTGATGACATCGAGTAGAATGTTGGACATACGTTCTGTATTTAAATGTATTAAATCGAATAGATGAGGCATAATTAGCGAAAGGAATTGAAAATGTTCACGTATATCATCAGCACCGGCATCGGAGAATTTCTCATTTATCAATTGCAGAAGGAAGGCAAATAGTTTTACGACTTTCTCACGATTTACACCTTCCAATTTTGGATGATTGCATTTTATCAAACGTTCGACTATTATAGGTTGGTCTTGCAACTTGTACTCGTTTAATAGTTTAACAAATTCCGGATAATTTTTGGGCATTTCGATTGTAAATGGCAAATCTGTTCTTTGGACATTTACTTTTTTCGTTGTTTCTTTTGGTTTTGTGTCCTTTTTGGGTTTATCTGATTTCACTTCATTATCCACTTCGGAATCTTCTCCTTCGGAGTCAGTTACTTTTAAATCATCCAAATCATCACCTTCTTCTTCATCGTCATCATCGTCCTCCTCTTCTACACCTTCCTCATCTTCATCGTCGTCGTCTTCTTCTTCCTCGCCGCTTTCATCTTCATCATGCTCCGCTTCCCCATCATCCTCTTCAGCTTCTGAATCTTCCTTATTGTCATTGGCATTCAAATTCGTTCCCAATTGGCCTAAAATTAAATTATAGTTCATCTAAAAATTGCCAACAAATTTTGACTTATTAAAATATGCCTACCATCCATAGTATACACCAAGGTGCCATCCTCTTCTTCAACGCCATTAGCAAAATAACCATCATCCAAATCATCCGCGGACCTATGCTTGGGTTTATTATTATCCTCTTCATCATCTTCTTCACCCTCAGCTTTCATTCTTCTGAGACGTTCATTTTCTAGCCTCTCCAAACGTTCCTTCTCCTTTTTGGCCATATCTTCTTCGGATATCAATTTATCGGATACCACACCTCTTGGTTCAAATATCAATTCACGTGTCAAACGATCATAATCATCCGGTTCTTGTTTTTTCATTTCATTCTTGGACATTTTTCCCACCAAACTAATGAGATCCTTATAATTGGAATCAAGTTTTTCTGTGAGATCGTAAAGTTCATCTTTCTCCTTGGCAATTTCAACTTTACGTTTTTTCTGCTCAGCAATCATTTCTTCAATGGCAGATTTACGATCTTTGGCGGCAGCACTTTCATCGCCACCGAAATGGGCAGCTTCCGTGAAGGCGGCTGAAAATAAAAACCAAAACAAATTTATATTATTTTTTGTTACAAAATAAATAAAAAAATTAATTTAAATCATACCATCCAATTTATCATCCTCCTCGGCGTCATCATCGGATCGGTCATCCCGAAATTGTTCTATCTCTTCCAATGTCTGACCACGATGCGTCAGCACTTCATCATCATTTAAATTGAATCTTGAATGTTTGTTTTGTTTCATGCGTTCCATTTTATCGGCCACAAAACGTGCCGCCATCACCTCTTCATTCAATTGGTCACCCGTCAAATATTTTCCAATACGACGATCTTTGAATTTATTGGTTTTATCCTTCCTCAGAAATTCTTGACCCAAAGTTTCTTTACGTTTCTTAATAGCCTTAGCTCGTGATACACCGGGCAGACCTTTATCATGTTTACATGTCCTTCCTAGAATTTGGAATTTCTCCTTGTTCATGTGTACCTCGAAGGGATTGAGTTTTTTCGATGTTGCCGCTGTCGCAGTGGCAAAGGGATTCTCTTTTTTCACTGCCTTCTTGGCGTAAACCGCATCGGCAACAGAATTTTTAGTTTTCTTAGCCATTTTGTATTTAATATTCTTTATTTTTTATTGAATTTTATTAAATTTCAACCACTTTTCAATCGAACACGAAATTAAAACAATTTTTGTTGCATTTTCAGAATACAAACAAACGATGTGACAGATCTCGCACGTGGAAGCAATGTTTTGAAACAGCTGACAAAAGAGAGTTGCCAAGAGAATCTAAATGTGGTTTGCTTGGGCGTTGTAAACGTAACGTTGGCGTAATGGATTGGTAAATATATATTTTTTGTTTAATGTTCAGATTTTCACGAATATTATTCAGAAATGGTTGAGTCTGGTTGTTTTTCCAGTAAAATTTACTAGGTGAGGTTGTTAGTAACTCTCGCAGACTATTGTCCATTGTGATCGTCCTTGACACTTGAAAAGAAAAGGGGAAAAGAAGAGAGAGTGGAAGAGAGGAGAAAATATTAGGAGAAGGAGAGCCTAGAGGTGGTTATTTTAGCCATGCTAGATTTTTGACAAAGCCTAGGATCTGCTTGGGGTCTATTTTGGAGAAGAAGTTTTGGAGAGAAGTTGTGTTGAAATCAGTTCAGATTTGGATATATAAAATCGGACGAAACTACATATGGTTTCGTCCGATTATATGTAAATGGAGCACCATACTGCCAATATTGGTCCGATTGAGACAAAATTTTATACAAAGTAATAAATTAGGTCCAGATTGATGTATGCGAAGTTTAGTTGGAATTCGTTTTGTTGAAATCAGTTCAGATTTGGATATATAAAATCGGACGAAACTACATATGGTTTCGTCCGATTATATGTAAATGGAGCACCATACTGCCAATATTGGTCCGATTGAGACAAAATTTTATACAGAGTAATAAATTAGGTCCAGATTGATGTATGCGAAGTTTAGTTGGAATCGGTTCAGATTTAGATTTAGCTCCCATATATAGTTTTGTCCCATTTTATGTAAATGGAGAACCAAAGAGTAAAATTTAGGCCGATTTGCAAAAATTTTGCACAGTGCA